CAAAAGAAGAAAGTAAGTAAAATCATGCTTGGAAATAATTCTTGAACAGTAGGCAAATCGGTAAGCCAAGAAGAAGGCTTACTATGAGTATGAGCCTCCCATCGGCCCTTTGACAAATCGTGCCACGCGCACTCGGCATATGTTGACATCGAAACCTGACTCCTGACCCAGTTCTTGAGGTAGGGAACGCACCCAGCATCCAAGCAACGGCTGCATCAAGAAAAACACTGATAAGAAAGGATGAAGAAGTAAAAACAACAAACGGAAATTAAAGACGGGATCATACTTACGTTTCATATTCTATTTCTCGGGAAATGGCATGCTCTTAGTCGGGATTAGGTTCGTGGTCTTTATCCGAATGAACCGGCCCATCCAACCCCGATCTTTGTCTTCATCTATGCTCGAGGTGAATGCCTTGGTGGCCCGGTGTTAAAGCTTTATCAACCCACCTCGGTAGAGTCGAGGGCTATATAATCTTACGAGGTGGTCGAGGGTGAAGGGAAGCCCGTCGATTTTGCTCACGAAGAAACGGAGCAGTATCACGATCCTCCAGAAAGAAGGGTGAATTTGGTCGAGGGTCACCTGATATTTCTTGCAGAAATCGATGATGACCGGATCAAGGGGATCCGGCGTGATAGGATAAGTGTAAACACTTAGGTACCCTTCCACGTGGGTAGTGATCGCTTCCTCCTATGCCGGTATCACAACCTCTTTGTTTTTCCAATTGCAATCTTTCTTCACCAGATCAAGAAGGCTTTGGGATATCGAGCATATATATCTCGATACCGGCTCACATCGGCCAATAACCGATGAGGGTTTCTCGACCTTAAAGTCGGAATCAATAACACACCCCTCTGGAATAAGTTCTTCAAGGCGTGGCTCCACCATTGGTTTCTCGCCGGCCGGCCGAGATGAGGAAGCAGCCTCTTTCTGCGGAACGGTTTTGGATGTTTTGGCCATTTAGTTTTTGTGAACAAAGAAGAATGGAAATTGAAGTATTTGGTGTTTCAGGAAGAACAAGCAAAAAGAAATTTGAAAACCTAGAAATATGGAGCTTTAGAGAAGGCAAAGAACTATGAAGATTGGAATGAAAAAGATTTGAAAGTAAAAGTTTGAAATGATGAGGAAGGCGGCTATTTATTGGTTTCACAACGACGGTTTAAAACTGATAGTGGCCGACCATCGACTGCCGCATATTTAATGCCTTAGTAACTGGACAGACGAGACGTTTATCGCAGACGTCACAATCGGGCTCATCGCTGATGTCATTGCCCATCTAGTTGGAGTTCGAAAATTCATATCGTTTCTCTCTATCTTCTTTTTGAGAAATGAGGGGACTATTTATATACGGTCAAAACCGGGTTTGCCCTTCATGATTGGAACATGATAGACCAAGGTTTGTCATTGTAATATCGAGGCATGATGCGGAGTTTGGTTATCAAGCTCGAGCCCCAGAAACCAATCTAGATCGAGATCGGTCAAGATCGAGCTCGAGACATCGAGGTCGAACAAATAGAGATCGGCCAAGATCGAGCTCGAGACGTCGAGGTCGAACAAATAGAGATCGACCAAAATCGAGCTCAAGCCCCAGAAACCAATCAGGATAGAGATCGGCCAAGACCAAGATCGAGCCAAGAAACAAAAAAGTCGTTATAGCCGCAATTAGGGGGAGAATCTCAGCAGAAATTACTGTTTGAATCAAGAAAAAGCTAATTAATTAATCTATCATGGGATCCCCACTATATATTTTTAATTATATCAAAAATGAGATTCTCCCACTATATTAAGAGTTATTATCATTTGTAGAAGGGACAGATTCATTTGGGAGATATATAGAAAAGAGAGCAAATACTATCCCTTTTTGGCTTTTGATATTTAGTCATATTGTTTCTTCCACCAATCATTCCGAAGATGATAAAACTTGAAAGCTTAGGCTAACTAGTTCATTCGGTTTGCATTCATATCTTTTATAACTAATTTCGATATTCATTTACGTATCTTTCCCAATTTGTATCAATTTATATCACGTATCCTTAGAACTACGTATAAATTCAACTCTATCCGTTTTTCGGGTAAAGAGCTTACCAATAAACAAAAGCACACATGAGATACTAAGATGCACTATAAAAGATTTTTTTTTTACACAAGTAGTAGTGAGACGACTTATGTAAACTAAATTTCGGTTGTTCACTTCTTTTAATTGGCACTGGTCGTAAATGTAATTTATTGTTGGAATGACAACAAATTGAAGGAGGCTTCATAGATTATACAGTTTCTAAATAGTCCAGGAGATAAAAATCCTATAAAATAGATTTTTATACTGGACAAAAATAGTTATTTAAATTATTATTTTCAAAATCAACTAAAATATTAAAGACTTTAGAAATCAATTAAAATTTATACTATTGAATCTTTTTTATTTAAGTTATATAAGGAACTTTAAAACCGATTAAGATTTACCTTATATAAAACATTTGATTTCTGCAATTTAGTAGTAATACAAGATAGAAATTAATGACAAAAGATAAACTGGTAGCGCAAGAAAAGACTATGCAATGGTTAATTTAAGATGTAACTTACAATTGGCAATCTAAGATATGACATGCAATCTAATTTTTTTGATATTAATTCATGCTATTATTTTTCTTATATATTTATATTTTTAACATTATCAATTGGTACACGTTTGCATTTATTCCAAATGACAACTCCATATATATTTTATATTAAATTCTTTGTTATACAATATTAAGTTATTATTAATCATTTTAGACTTTACATTGTCCATTAGTATCAATAACGCCAACCTCTTCATTCCAATTTATTTAATTAGACTTCCAATTTATTACTTAAACATAATTTTTACTAATATTTATGTGACTTTTATAAATAATTTACTCACTGGAGCTAAAGTACACGCGCGAGGCGCGTATCATAAGACTAATTCTCTAAAATGTCTGTTTCGGCTTTAGAATTAGCTCCAATATAGCCTCACGAGATGGAATTTTGATAAAAAGTCATAAAGATAAAGTAATAATGAAATCATGGATTCATGATACGGATACAATTTACAATTTTTCATTTTGCATGTCTTGGCCTATTGACTAAATTACATAGTAATATGGGCAAAACAAGCTAATCTTATTTTATGTACGAATCTTCAACAGAAAATAACACCCCCCCTAAATTTTCTATGCAACTTACATTAACCTAATTGATGAATATTTTAGAGTGGGAAGCTATGCAAATATAATTAAGGGAATTGAAATTTGTCTTCAAGGCTTTGAAAGAAAGGAAATTGATAAGTTATGTGTCCTGTTATGTTTTGATAATCTAACAAACTTAATGTTAAGAACCAGATGGGGAACCTGCTCCATATCCTTAAAGTGCTCAAGATCAACAAGTCTCAAGTATGGGACATGTTCCAACATTTAGAGTCCAAGAAACAACAGAGGGAACAGATCGACATCAATTCCCTTGCTGACAGTACCGGTCAACTCCCCATAATTGTAAAGTGGCTGCAACTGTTCCTCTGCACACACGCAACAGCGTAAACAGTGGAGCAGTCACTTTATGGAGAATGCCCTCGTATCAAACATGCTTACATCATTTAAGTGATGTCACTTATGTAATATTAACATGAAGCAAAGGCAAAACATCATACTTGCACATTCCAGAATTCATCAAGCTTCCTCCCAATTGTGTTGCCAACTTGCAAGTGACATTCAAGGCGTCAAGAATAAAGAACAACATAACGAAGGACCTGTTTCCTGCATTAGGTCATTATATGTCCCTAGTTGTGTTGTACCTTTGTTAAAGTAATTAACTTGTAATTCCTATTTAGCTTAGTTAGAAGTATTGTGTAGGAAGCCTTTTGTAAAACCATAAACCTTGTGTTTGTGTCTTGGCTAGGGTTAGTCGAGTTATAAGCTTTGTAATAGAGTTATTACTAAGAGTCTTGTAATAGAGTTATTACAAGTTAGTGAGAGATTAAGAGGTTAATTTCTAGGTTACAATAGTTTGTAATCTGAAGTTTGCTCAGTAGTGAAGTTGAAATCCTACGATTGTAGGTCGTAGTTTTTAATCCCGTGAGCTGGGAGTTTTTCTCGTAAAACTCTATTGTGTTATTTACTAACTGTTGTGTTATGTGAGAACTAATAGAGAAACTGGTTCTCTATATAGTTTGATGGACCCTTAGTTTCTATCAATTGGTATCAGAGCAGGTTCTTTCTATTAGGTTAACACTTAGAAAGGATCCTCATGGCTGCTCCACCAAACTTCGAAGAAAGTCAATCCACCTACAGACCACCAAGATTCAATGGAAAATACCACGGGTGGTGGAAGACAAGGATGCATGATTTTATCATGGCTGAAGATTCAGAGCTCTGGGATGTTATCTGTGATAGTCCCTTCGTTCCTATGAAAACCATTGGGGAACAAACAATGGAAGTTCCCAAGACTAGGAAGGAGTACAACGATACTGACCACAAGGCTATAAAAAAGAACTTTTGAGAAAAGATAATCCTCGTCTGTGGCATTGGGCCAGATGAATACAACAAGATTTCTGCCTGTTAATCTGCCAAGGAGATCTGGGAAGCTCTCCAAACAGCACACGAAAGGACAACTCAAGTCAAGTAGTCGAAGATCAATATGCTAACCACTAAGTATGAACTCTTCAAGATGAAGGACGATTAGTCCATTCAGGACATGCACACTCGCTTCACCTCTATCATCAATGAGATCCATTCTATGGGAAAGTCATTCCAAGGAACAAACTTGTCAGGAAAATACTCAGCATATTACCTGGTTCCTGGGAAAGCAAAGTAATTGCTATCACGGAGGCAAAATATCTACAAAAGCTGACCATTGATGAACTCATTGGTAATTTGAAAACTTATGAAATAAAGAAGAAAAAGGATCATGAGAGAAGAGATCCCAAAAGCGAGAAGAACCTGGTTCTCAAGATAGACAACAATGAATCAAGTGGTGAGCATACTGATATGGCTTACTTGACAAAGAGATTTCAGAAGATGGTCCGCAGAAATGGAGGTATTCCAAAGAAGGGCAGCTCCAACAAGTTAAGAGGATATGACTTATGTCATAAGTGCGGGAAGCCAGGACATTTCATCAAGGATTGTCCCCTTCTCAAGCAAAACCAGTACAAGCATAACACAGACAAAGCAGCCAAGAGGAACCCGGTTCCTGACAAAAGATTTAAAAGAAAAGAAGTCGCTAACAATGTTATTAAACAAGCTCTTGCTACACAGAGAGATTCTTCCAGCGAATCTGTAAAAGATGATGCACAATGTGACACCTCCATGATGGCAGTCAAAAGTGAAGCAGCTAATTATGATTCTATCTTTGCCCTGATGGCAAAATATGACGATGATGAAGATAATGATGATGATGAGGTAAACTTTCTAGAAGTTAAAAGAAATATGAAGTCTTACTCTTAGAAAAAGCTTATATCTTTGGAAAATATTTTAATTAATGCTTATCACAATCTTATAAATGATAAAAATGCTTTAACTATAGATCTAGGAAAGGTAGAAAGTCAGAGAGATGATTTGGTAGTTGTAGTGGCCGACCTAAAAGAAACCATCGAGGATTTAATAAAAGAAAAAAGTGTTCTGATTAAAAAGGTTAAAATCATAGAAAATGAGAGAGATGACTTGTTAGTAGTCGTCATGGACCTAAAAGAAACAATAGAGGAATTAAAAAGGGGAAATAATTCTGGGACTGTCCAAAAGGGAAAGAAAGTTGCAAGTGAGGCACATATTAAGCTTGAAAATGAACTCCAATCTGTGAAATCTAGTATGTATGCTGAACTTGAAAGAAACAGGCAGCTTCAAGAAGATCTAAGCAGAGTTAAAAAAGACCTCGAAAAATCTCTAAAGTGGACCTGGTCCTCTGATACAATTGCTGCCATGTATACAAGCAATGGTGGGAACATGCAGGGAGTCGGGTTCCAAAGGGAAAAGACTCCCTATAATCCACATAACAAGTATGTTACTGTCCCTGATAACTGGCTTTGCACTCACAGTGGTAACACTGGTAACTTTAAAGAAAACTATAAGGCTAGAATTCAGTCCCAACAGAAAAATAAGGTGTTTGTTGAAAAGGTAACTACTGCTAAGGAACCTAGTCCCTCCGTTAAAAAATGTGTACTGCCTGCCTGGATAAAAAGAAGTTTAATTTGCCCCTTTCCTCACTACAAGGGACCAGAACTTATTTGGGTTCCTAAGTCTAATCCTTGATTCTCTTGTGCAGGGAGCAGTAAAAGGAAGCAGCCAAAAATAGTACATGGATAGTGGCTGCTCTAAGCACATGACTGGAAGCATCGGTGATTTCCTTTCACTCAAAGCCCTACAAGGAGGGAGTGTGTCCTTTAGCAATGGCAAAAAGGGATACATTCTGGGAGTAGGAAGAATTGGGAAGTCACTCACTCACTCAATTGAAAATGTGTACTATGTGAACGACTTGAAATATAGCCTACTAAGTGTTTCCCAAATCTGCGACAAAGGAAACAAAGTGGAATTTGTGTCAAAAGTCTACACAGTCACAAACTTGGGACTGGTGAAGTGGTCCTGATGGCGAAAAGATACAAGAACATTTATGTTGCCGATTTTGAGTCCCTACAAAATAGGGATCTTACTTGTCTGAGTGCTGTTGATGATGATGTTGAACTATGGCACAGAAGATTGGGTCATGCAAGCTTTACGTTGATGAACAAATTGGCCAGGAGGGACATGGTTCGTGTCCTGCCGATGTCAAGTTTCAAAGATCACAAGGCGTGTGATGCATGTGTAAAAGGAAAGCAAGTCAAGTCTTATTTTTAGCCCAAAAAGGAAGTTAGCACCTCAAGGCCACTTGATCTCCTCCATATGGATCTGTGTGGACCTATGAGGGTGCCAAGTAGAGGCGGAAATAAGTACATATTTATTATAGTGGATGACTACTCTAGATTCATCTGGACCTTGTTCCTCAGAACTAAGGATGAAACTTTTCGAGTGTTTGTTGCCTTCATGAAGAATATCCAAGTGAAGCTGAGCCACAATGTTGTTTGTATAAGATCCGCCCACGACACAGAGTTCGATAATGCAAAATTCGACGAATTCTGTGCTGAAAATGGCATAAGTCATAATTTCTAAGCTCCAAGAACACCTCAACAAAATGGTGTTGTGGAGAGGAAAAATAGGACTCTTGAAGACATGGCGAGGACAATGTTGATTGACAGTGGCATTGCTAAAAACTTCTGGTTAGAAACATTTAACACTGCATACTATTTGGTGAACAGGTGCATGATCAAGTCTCTCCTGGACAAGACTCCGTATGAACTGCTGAATGGGAGGAAACCCAAGCTAACACCTTTGAGAACATTTGGCTGCAAATGTTTTGTCCTCAATAATGGTAAGGAAGCACTTGAAAAATTTGATGCCAAAAATGATGAAGGAATCTTTCTGGGCTATTCATCACAAAGAAAAGCATACAAAGTCTACAACAAAAGAACTCAATAAGTTGAGGAAAGCATACATGTGATCTTTGATGAATCACACCACCTACATGGGAAAGATTCACATGATAAGATTGATCAAGACGGACAACAGTCAACGGTTCCTGGTGGAAGTCATTGATATGGCAAATGGAAAGACTGACGTGATGAGCTACGTCAATGAATCAAATGATGATGATGCAACTGTATCTCCAGCTGATGTGGAGGAACCTGGTTCCTCGATCACAACAACCGAAGCTGAGAACAGAGTTGTTGATGCTGTGCAAGGAACCTCAAATGCTAAGCTGAGAAGCGAGACTCACATCAACTATGGGTCACATTCAGAAGTACCTGGACCCTCTCACAATGAGATTCAGGTGTCTATCTGGAAGCACAAAAGTTCACACCCTCTTCAAAATATGATCACTCCTCCCGACTCAGGGATTCAAACTAGATCAAAGTCAAGAAACTCACTTGCCTTCTCAGACTTTCTCTCTCAAGTTGAGCCCAAAAATATCAAGGAAGCACTGAAAGATGCTGACTGTATTACTGCTATGCAAGTTGAACTCTATCAATTTGAGAGGAACAATGTATGACACCTGGTTCCTCGACCTACTGACAGATCCATTATAGGAACCAGGCGGATATTTAGAAACAAACTTGATGAGTTTGGAAACACAACAAGGAATAAGGCAAGGCTGGTAGTTCACGTCTACAATCAAGAAGAAGGGATTGACTATGATGAAACTTTTGCTCCAGTTGCTTGAATGGAGGCCATCAGAATCCTCATTGCCTTTGCATCTCATATGGAATTCAAATTATTCAAAATGGATGTCAAAAGTGCATTTCTGAATGGCTTTCTAAATGAAGAAGTCTTCGTCAAGAAACCACATGGCTTCGGTCTTAAAGAAGGCTCCTCGTGCATGGTATGAAAGGTTGTCCAAATTTCTCATAGAAAATGGATTTACAAGAGGAAAAATTGACAACACCTTATTTCTGAAGAAACGGGGGAGGAACCTGCTCATTGTACAAGTTTATGTTGACGACATCATCTTTGGTGCAACTAATGATTCTCAGTGTGAGGAGTTTGCAAAGCTCATGGGAAGTGAGTTTGAAATGAGTATGATGGGGGAATTGAATTTCTTCTTGGGTCTGCAAGTCAAGCAAACTCCTAACGACACAATGATAAGTCAGCAGAAGTACATCAAAGAGCTTCTGAAGAGATTTGAAATGGAAAGCTCAAAAAATTCGTATTTCCCCCCAAACCTGTTTCTCCCTTTATTCCACCTCAATTACTTTTCCCCCTTTTGGCATCATAAAAGGATTAGTAACAAATAATAAGCAAAAAGAAGTCTAGCAAGCTTAACTCATGCCACACGTGTGCACACAAACATGACTAAAGCCAGAGCAGAAGAGCAAAGGATACATAGCAAAAGGACGTGATATTCATTAACTTTGGAAATAAACACGGAACAGTGCCATTTGTTACACAATCATGCACAAAAAATAAACAAAAAAAAAAATACCAGCTACTAAACATATTTTTACAAAGGAGACCAAAACAGAGGACAAACAACTTTAACTTGACACTGGGAAGGGAACAATTTGAAGAAGCACTGGAGGGAGGAGGCAGAGATGAAGAGGCAAGAGTTCTAAGGAGGATATCCATTCGAGAATTGGCGGACCCTTGCTCAGTGAGTAACCTCTCCTTCAGGTCCTCAACCTGTTTCCTGAGATCAGCATTCTCTTTGGTCAGACGGGCAACCTCTGTGCCTTGTGTGCTGCTGGAACCAGGTGCTTCTTGGACCTGACTAAGCTGTCCCTCAAGAATAGCATTTCGTGACTTCAACTTCCTTATCTCTTCATTGGCAATGTTCTGAGCTTCAATCAGTTGAGAGATAGTGGAATTGCTGCCAACCCCTCCTTTCTTATCGATGCACTCACACTCTTCTAAGGTGGTCTTGGAGAAGATCTGCTTGCGAGTACCCACCGTCGCCTTTCCCAAAGGGACTTTGAAGAACTCAAATACTTTGGTGAGTAAAAACCCGTAGGGAAGCCCATGATTACCATCCTTGAAATCTGCCACTTTCTTCATGTGCTCAATCATGATGCCTGGCAGATTGATAGTGGAGTAAGCATCCAGTTCTTCCATGAGGAACAAGTCTGCTCGTGACGTAATGTAATGCCTTTCTGCACGAGGGAGCAAAACCTTGTTCACCATCTCGAATAACAGCCGGTACACTGGAAGGAGGGCCTTCTTGTGTACCCGTTTCCCCTGCTGTACTGCATCATCCTTCAAAATGGCATTTATGAAGTTTGAAGAACAAGTCCCCTCAATGGAGTATATTCCATCAGTAGGCACTCCCAAGATGGTTCTCAACACAGCCTCATCCATCACAAAGTCAACCCCATTCACCTTCATGCAGATGTTGTCATCCTTGATTGTGAAAAAGTCGGCATAGAAACTGCGCACCTATGCCTCATATACCTTAGGACTCCCATTTGTGAACATATGTGTCCACTATTGAAAGTCACATATATCAACCAGCTGGCGCATTCCTGCCATGTCAAGAATATCAGGGGTAAATGTTCTGCCCCACAGCACCTTCTGGTTTCTCAGATTTGCCCTTCCTTTATTCTTGGCCACACCCACCTTGGCCTTCTTGGAGGAACCAGGTTCCTCATGGGAACCAACCTTCCATTTCACTGATTCCGCTCCCTCTCCTCATTTTTATGCTGAGCCATTGACCATTGTTGCTCCTGAGATGAGATCTCTGTCTGAGGAAGCGAATGAGGATAGTGAAGAAGACTATGACAATGTGGCTCTTGCAAGCTTTATTAGTGCTAGGAGCAGAAGGGCAACTCTCAAAATTTCCACTCCTAAAAGACCTACTACTAGGCTGCAAAAGAAGGAAGCTCTTAAGTCAACTCTAAAGAAAAGTAAGAAAGAAAAGAAGAGGAGAAGGTTGGTGAAGGGTGGGAAGTTAGTACATGAAGCGGTAGTGCCTACATCCCTTGTTGTTGATGTTGATGAAGAGGTGGAGGAGGAACCCGGTCCCTTAATTCGTAAGTCCTCTAAGAAACCTACTGTTCCAAAGTTTGGGAAAAAGTCATATGTGAGAGTGATGAAGGTTAGCAATGTTGAAGTGGGAGAGTTTGGCGAGAAGGTGGCTGAGGAGTCTGGTGAGAAAGTGTCTGAGAAATCTGTGTCTGAGAAAAGAAATTGAGGGGGAACAAAGGGAGAAACAGGTTCAGGGGGAAAGCACGATTTCTTTTTTGCTACTTATGGTACTCTGGTTCTCATGGGGAATTTCAATTACAAGTTTGTCATCATCAAAAAGGGAAAAATTGATAAGTTATGTGTTCTGTTATATTTTGATGATCTAACAAACTTAATGTTAAGAACCAAATGGAGAACCTGCTCCACATTCTGAAAGTGCTCAAGATCAACAAGTCTCAAGTCTGGGACATGTTCCAACATTCAGAGTCCAAGAAACAACAGAGGGAATAGATCGACATCAGTTCCCTTGCTGACAGTACCAGTCAACTTCCCACACCTGTAAAGTGGCTGCAACTGTTCCTCTGCACACACGCAACATTTCAATTAGTGGAGCAGTCACTTTATGGGGAATGCCCTTGTACCAAACATGCTTACATCATTCAAGTGATGTCACTTATGTAATATTAACATGAAGCAAAGGCATAACATCACACTTGCACATTCCAGAATTCATCAAGTTTCCTCCCAAGTGTGTTTCCAACTTGCAAGTGACATTCAAGGCGTCAAGAACAAAGAACAACATAATGAAGGACCTGTTTCCTGCATTGAGTCATTATATGTCTTTAGTTGTATTGTACCTTTGTTAAAGTACTTTACTTATAATTCCTACTTACCTTAGTTAGAAGCATTGTGTGGAAAACTTTTTATAAAATCATAAACCTTGTATTTGTGTTTTGGCTAGAGTTAGTCGAGTTGTAAGCTTTGTAATAGAGTTATTACAAAGGGGCTTGTAATAGAGTTATTACAAGTTGGTGGGAGATTAAGAGGTTAATTCCTAGGTTACAATAGTTTGTAATTTGAAGTTTTCTCAGTTAAAAAAGTTGAAATCCTACGAGTGTAGGTCGTGGTTTTTAATCCCGTGAGTTGGGAGTTTTCCACGTAAAACTCTATTGTGTTATTTACTAACTACTCTATGTGTGTGTGTTCCGTGGGAACTAATAGAGAACCTGGTTCTCTATATAGTTTGGTGGACCCTTAGTTTCTATCAAAAATTATCTAGTATTTAATAATATTAATGAATAATCAACCACATAAAAAAATATTTTAGCAACTACGTGTAAGTAAGACACTAATCAAATTCAAACTTCTCATCTAGAATATATTCCTAGTATAAATAGAATTCTTGATCTAGACTCAATGCATGATCAAATCAAAATAAAATAAAATAGTGAAACTAGGAAAACTACAAATGGCTTAAGCACTATAATTCATTGGTGAAGTTCGTCGTGGATCAAGTACCACCGACAAACTGAAAAAAACCGAAAAATATTATCCCTTGGAGCTTCAATTCGCGAAATTTGTAACGGAGAAAGTGTAGGCAACCAAAAGTTCGCTACTTAAGAAGCCTTTGAAACCTATGGATGTTGAGAAGGTTGCTGATAATTTTGATTGCGTCATTAAAACTGATCTTGTAGTCGGGATACCTAGTTTGATATTAATGTACTAACAAATTAAACAATTAAAAATAATACGTGCTGAAATTCAGAAAAGTTATGAAAATTCTAAAATATCTATTGTAGCTTCTATTATGAAGGTGAGCGAAAATACATAGAAACAAGCTTTGGAGTTGGTAAGACAAGAATTAGAATCACAAAGAAAAATCACAAAAAGAAGAATCAAAGATTTTGTCAAAGCTCCCTATGCTACTGAAGAAATTCTAGAGTTAGAGATAATAATTAGAGAGGTTGGGGAGTCTTTGGAGAAGCATGTGGAAGAGCCTGTGGGTCTAAGAAGGCTGTGCCGGACCCTGTAGAAAAAAGCGTGGAGGTTGGAATACTTCTGAGAAGGTTGTGGAGGAAAAGACCAGAGTAAACACTGGAGACCAATGTGAGGTTATATTGGAACTCTGTATCAAAAAAATCGGCAATAACATAGTCTGCTCTTTAATTCAAGATGTACAAGTCATTGAAGCAAGTGTGGGAAAATACTCATCAGTAAGCATGGCTTTGCTCAAGTATATGATTTAGCTGCTGGTAGGACAATTTGCGTATGAAATTTCTGTTCAAATTTTTCTGCTGTTTTTACTGTTTGAGTTGGAAAACATCTCAATAGTTAGCATAGCTTTGCTCAAATATATGGTTTAACTATTGGTAGGAAAAAAAGCAAAAAAAATAATTTGTTGCTGAGAGGCCATCAACCGTTGAGAATGATGGTCTTTAAAGCTGGCTATGCTTCAATGATGAAGCGGGACAGGTTCTCACTGCTAACAAATGGCCCATACAAAATTGAAAGGGTTGTTGTAGATGTTGATTTTCCATTAGCCCAAAGAACCTAAAGTCAATGGCTTACTAAAGGCACTAACTTCTAATTCAAATGGTGTGCCGAAAGCTCCAGTAACTTTGACCATTGGTGCATAAGAAAATAATAATTTCAATTTGATGATAATGATTATGAAGAAATGCTTGTTACTCTTGAAGGCAACACATTTGAGCCATTGGTGCCACTTGATAACCCCACGGCACAGGGCCCGTTTCGCAACCAAGATTTGCATGATGATGAAATGCTTGCCATAGCTAATGGCTTTCTTGAACATTAGGACCAACTGGTGAACCAATAGTTTTAAATTTACATTATTGGGGTTTGGACGGAAAGACTCCAGCAAAATAGATAATCCTACTTATCTACCAAGATTTGTTTTTTATAACTTAGAAGACCTCATAATCACAGTGCTTGAGCCCCTGTTTCTATCTTTTGTGATTGCTCAAGTTTTATTTCTCTGTCCGCAGCTCCGATTTGCTATACATAAATGACATATATATGCCAAATCTGTCAGCAAGGGGTTTCAACCTTTTGAATCCTTTGAACAAGTATGTTCCATTTAGAATTTTTAGTTTTGCTTTTTTCTGCTAACATCAGAAATTCATGACTAAAGTTTATCCAATGTCCTTCCTTGCATTATATATAAAGTAAGAAATTTTCAATAAAAGCAGACATAAAAAACATTCTATATCTAAATTCAAACATAGGCAGCTGGTGCCTGGAGAGGACCATTTGATTTAATACCCTGACCACGACCTCTACCCCGTCCTTGTCCTTGGCCTCGGCCTGCAAGAAATCCGATCTTGTGTTAAAAGATATGACATATCAGAACAAACAAATAAGTATATTTTGTTAATTAATATTTGGCTATTTAACCAATATAAAAACAAGTATATTTTTTTGTCATTTGTGGAGGTAAACTAATGGGAGTGCATACAATTCAATCACCAGCAGTTATACATCAAATGATAGCAACTTAGTACTACTATATAAACGAAGTTGTACACCTTAAGGAAGGAGCTTACCCTGGCCCTGAATGGGGATTGAACCAGCTACTCCAACATAGTTGTTACCACGTCCACGAAAAACAAACAAAAGAAACATTATGTTCAAGCCTCACCTTCTTCAAAAGAAAATTTAAGAATTCAAAAGATAATGCAGAAAAGAAAGTTGTAGACATATGCAAAATGAAACAATTATACATATTCAATCACTGGTCTTACTTGATCTGCAAATTTGAACAAACTTTTGAAACGTACAATTCATGCGTCTTTAAGCCATAGCCTGAAAAAAAGCATTTTGACTAGTATGGTATTGAGTCGTAGTTCATTGATTGATCACAAGTTAATTAGTTCACTTCCTAAATGCGGTGCTCATAAATCATGATTACGTATCTAACTCCTTCTTTGAAAGGATAATTGTTATGACTGACACATGATGAGTAGTCTCGAGGCTGCATTAGGTAATAAACAAAGAAAATTGAGCAAAATGCCAAACATTCCAAGCCAGAAAAAATATTTCATCTTACTTTACGGAACAAGTCCTTCTTCTAAAGGTTCCCACATATCCGTTGAACCAATCGATGTTATCTGATGAAGTCCAACGATCTTTCTCTGATACATAAATTGGTAAATGCTTTATATTGAGCTCGGAAGATGTATTATATTAAAAGATAATTTTCAAAGAATGCAGTAAGTGGACATAAACATGCTACAATCTGCTGCTGCACCTTTATTACTGTTTTACTAATGGCTCTGCCCATAGATTTGAGAGCAATTTCTTTAGATCCTTTTTCCTGCAAAAGGAAGCAGGAAATAATTATTGTCAAGACATAAAACTCACAGAAACATGATAGATCATGTATAAATCCTCAGTTTACAGTGATTCAATAGAATTGAACATATGGTTTAACAAACTGATGACATAAAAAAAAAAGCTAGTAAGATACCATACAATTAGAGTTCTGCACAGTTGCGTAGTGAGTGGTGTCATATATTAATTGAACTGTAGGCCAATACCATGAAATTTTTTATCCTCCCATTTTATCCTACTTCAAATATTTTTTCTCATCCTTTCATTGTTCACTCACTAAAGAACCAATTTTTATCAGCACTTATCTCTTACATACTCAAGTAAAGCAACCAAAACAAGGCATTGTAATAACTTTTTCCTGCCTGAATTACTTCTCCTCCTCTCTTATATGAAAGTTCTTGTTTTTAAAATAAATTATTCATCAAGGAAATCTCGACTAACTGAACCAACAAATTCTAAAATGAAAGTTTATTTTATAGTCTTGCACCCAAAAATACAAAAATACATCACCTGAAGGAGAAAGTTGCAACTGTAATCTAGTTTCTTTCTTACATTTTCATTTAAAAAAGAACCCATTTTTACCAGCATGTATCCACACTCATGTAAATCAACCGGTAAGAACCCAAATCAAAGAAAGGTTTATGTTATTTTACTGCACTCAAATGTTGGTAAGCCATACATCATTTCACAAAATAGCCAAAGAAACATAGGCAATAAAAAGGTACCAGTGGTTACATTTTTAATGTACCTTACATCCCTCTCATTGGGTCATTGTTTATTAAAGAAATTGTATTAGATTTAAGGATCCATTGATATTAAATCTAATCCAATTAGAATATTTGGTACTTAATAATTTTATATAAATAAAGTATGGAAAATCCTGTTTACTAATTCTGTTTAGTACCGTCTGGGAAATTTATCCTATATTATTCCAGCAAATAGCACAATTATGGCTAGGGAGCTATATTATCAAGCAACCCAATTTAATGTAGAAATTTTTGGGATTGATTGGACATGCAAACTAGTAATGCGCTCCACACTCATGTAACTGAAACAGGACACCGAAAAACTGCAAAGATTGCAGATATGGCCATACACATTTACAAAAATAGCCAAAATGTCAACATAGAATTAAAAAAGGTAAAACACCTGGAGAAGAGTGGTAGCATAAGTAATGTAGTTCCTCAATCTTCCTTGTGTTGTTATTCTGATCTCATACTCCTTTATAGGAGTCTCAACTCTTGGCTTCTGCACTTTCTGATACCTATCCATCACTTTCTAAAACACAATCACACAAATTTCCTTCTATCAATAGCCCAAAAATCACAACATCTCCAAATCTTGAAACTAAAATGCAGTTGACAAGAGAAAGAACTCTTACTTTAGTGTTAGTTTTTTTGAATACTCTTATTCTGTGAAGCACCCGCTCTTGAACTGCAATCTGTTTCTTTTTCTTTTTTCCTTTATGAGAATGATAGTTTTTAGTTACTTTTCTTTTTGTCAAAATAGTAATCAGAAAAATACGGTTAATTGAGGCCAATATGACCGGCTTAATTATCTGATCTCGGTTTATGACTCTTGTTTCATGGAATAACCACGTGTTTAAAATTTTTTGATTCTTAGAATCGTGGTCCTAAAAGTTCGAGTAACATTTTCAGGAGTTATACATATATATATATATATAGGATATGTCAAAACAAAAGGGAAAAACTGTAATAGTGTATCTCAGAACAGAAGGAAAAACAAAGAAAAGCAGCAACTGTTGTACTAGAGTATACTAAAACATAGAGATACAATTTTGCTTAAAAAAAGGCAAAATACATAAATTGCTAACGAGCGCAAAACACAACATGAAATTGATGCTCGCTAACCAAAGATACTATAGTTAATTATTGTCTCTACATGGATTGAATTTAAACAATGTTCAAGTAATTTTTAGCTTAACGTTATTTAGGATGATTAACACTTTGATTGGGATGATTAATAACTAAAGTTAACTATGAAACTAAAACAATTAACAATTAACAATTGATCGCAAGAAGACAAGAGTTGAGCAACACTGGAATATCAGTGAGAGAAATAAGGGTCGTGACAGGATAGGTGCAAGATAGATATTTGGGATCCAACTCTAGTTCAATTCACTCTAATGTTCTAATGATTCTTACGAATTCACTCGATGATTAGTTCAAACGTGTAGCCAAGACTCCTCTCTCAATTAATTCTTAACTCTACGAGGTGAACTAATATAAGCACTGAGAAAGTATGCAAGTATGCGTTAATGGATTAGTCTTTAGGAAAGCGTCTCACGAATATTCTCCTAACTTAATTTAATCAAGAATTCAACAAGCTCTTTTGATTACTTAAAAGAATCACTGAATTAAATCAAATAAAATAATGCAAAGATAATCACCAAAATATTCCTCTTTTGATTAAATAAACTGGTGAATAAAGTTACAAACAATTCAAAGCTTCATAAACGAATTCAAGCAAAGAACTAGAGTTAAAATTCACAAATATCAATCAAAACACTATATCCGTCAAACCCTAAGGTAAACCAATCCATAATCGTGGAGAAAGTTATCACAATTAGAATTAAAAAGTAAAAAACATCAATCTAACATTATAATCCAAACTCCCATATTGAATTGATGAAAAGATGATGAAATCTTGTATCTTGAAGCCTCCAATGCTCTCCAAAAGCTTCCCAGGTCAAAAGTCCTCTAAAAATCGTGTTTTTAATGTATTTATACCATGTAGGGACGGGCCCGGATGAAACTATTCTTTCCAAGCCGAATGGAAAATTACTCTAAGAAAAATACACAGGTGCGACGTGCCTCGTGTCGCCCCATGTGCCTCGCCAGTGGGAAAGTTCAGAGAGCAGGTTTTTTTCACTCTGTAGGAATTTTGTACTAGCACCTTGTGCCCCACGACGCGGTATTGCATTTTTGCCATAGTAATTGTTTTCTCAATTTTTAACATCCATACTTGGTCCCCGGCTCCGAAAACGATCTCTGCTTAATTCTTTGTGCTTCTACTGAGACTTCAAAACTCCAAATCATCCATTTTAGCTTCAAACTTGCTTTTTCACTCGAAATCACATCTTACACAACATAACATACATAATAAGTACAAAGTACTAACAATTAGGCTCAAATACAATCAAAGTGCAGTAATTAGAGTGTAAAATATAGCTAAAACACGAGTTCTTAGCCATCAACACCCCCACACTTAAACCATTTCTCGTCCATGAGCAATGAAACTGCACTTCACATAGAGGGACCTTTTCACCAAACAATTTCCCTAACCCATCATGCCAAGAATATTTAAAACAGACTAAGCACCATATCATATCATCCTACCCTCAAGACTTGACTCAAAATCACCATGCATTTTCTTCAAAAACCTGCTCACTTACTCTAGCACAGAGGCCAAAGACATTACCTTTCCTTCACAAGTCATGTGCCCTCACACAATCAATTGAGAGTAGTTCCACACACAATAAAGTTCAAGAACGATTAGGAAATCAAGATAGAATGAATTGACTCACTCTCAGAAATAAAATTCATGTGCCACAGAAGATGTACCATAGGCTTGCCCATAGTGTAATACTCTATAAATTGAACTTATTTGGGCCAGGATCAAGTATGACTTAATTTAGTTGTAATGTACGCTGCGGGACGGGTATGATACATATAGATAATAGTGACTCCCTAAGCACTTTAATAAATATACATTAACATGTCAACTCCACACTTTTATTGAACCAAACCCAAACCTTCACACATAATAGTATCAAGCTCCCAATATTTTTAAGCACAAACAAAATGAGAACTACTAGCAAGGAATCATTTTTTTTTTCTTTTCAAAGTTCTAATTTTCTTCTTTCAAGCACTTCATTTTTTTTCTTTTTTCAATTCCTTACAGGTGGCTCTCACAAATTTTCAAACAGTGTACCTTTTTTCATTTTTCTCAGTTCCACTCAAAACCCAACCATACCTCCACTTAGCTTTTAACAAGCTCATAACAAATTCAAGTGCTCAAGAGAGGTGAAAAGTTTAAACAAAGAATCAATTCAAACAAAGGGGTCAGGCTTGTAGTGTGGTTGCCAAAGAAATAATATTACATGCTCAACGAGGCTAACTAAGATACATCACAATTAGGTGGGTGAAAATATATATCTGACTCAACAAAGAAATACCTATAACACTTCTTAGGTTGAACAAGACTGCTATGTTGTTTTGCAAACATACATGGTAAGTTCTAGACATCAACTGACATGCACAGAATATCAACAAAATTCTCACACACACATTGGTACATAACTCACTTAGGACCGGATCTATCCCGACTCTTTAGTCAAATCAGTTAAGCGACATCAAAATTAAATAATTTCAAGCACTTATCCAAGAGTCAAGAACTGAGCCTAGGCGTCACGACTAAGAAATTCACTACTCTCAAGGCACAACAAAGTTAAGAGCATTTATCTCCATTTAACACTAGAGCACAAGACTTCCCTATTCCTAAAAAACTAACTACACCTGGTTATAGCAAAACCCTTGAAAAAGAACCATGGCATAAAGAAAAATCAAGGGGGAATTGTTACACTCTCTAAGAAAATAAAACAAAAATAATTTTTTTCTTTGACTTTAATCCCTCAAGAAGACAGTCGAGGAAATCCATCTTCGGGAAAAGTAAATGTTTTTTTCACCAATAAAAAAAAAGAACAACCACAGATGTACATATTTACATCCCCTACCCCACACTTTAAATTGTGGCATGTCCCCATGACACATAAATAAAAAGCAAGAGGTAAATAAAACTCTCATGAATCATCTAGTATGGGTCTGAATCGAAGTCGGGATCCATTTTGCACATTCGACTCAGTGCATACATCTATGCTGAAAGTTTCTTTTCTGCTTTTTTTGGGTACACCCCACACTTGTCATGATTACTCTATCTAGCTCGCTCTTTTAGGGCCTTTGCCTTGAATTCAGAATGTGCAGTCAGCTCGTCTCTAGGTGCCTCCATTGCTCCCTTTATCTTGAAAACCATCCTTTCTTCCCCCAGTCTGAGCATGAGCTGCCTTTCCTGAATGTCCAGAATAGCTTTGCCAGTAGACAAGAAAGGTCTTCCACTATTCCTTCAGGTATGATTGTGGTCTAATCCACCAACTGCAAAGACACGGGTATAGATCTGATTTTTCCAATCTCTCCCCCCAATTTCCTAAAAATAGACAAAGGCATAAGATTAATAGAAGCACCTAAATCACACAAATTTTTTTTCAAACTTAGTACTTCCTAAAGAGCAAGGTATAGTAAAACTCCTTGGATCTCCATATTTTTTAGGGAGCTTATTTTGGAGAATGGCACTACAATGCTCTGTGAGCTTGACAACCGATGTCTCTCCCATCTTACACTTGTTGGACAATATCTTCTTCAGGAACTTAGCATAGGCTGGCATCTGAGAGAGCACCTCTGTGAAAGGTAGATTAACATGCACCTGCTTGAGCACTTCTAGAAAACGCCCGAATTGTTTGTCCAAATTCTCTCTTATTTGCTTATGAGGGAAAGGTAGAGCAGACATGTATTCTCTCTCCTTAGTCTCCCCATTCATTGAATTTCCATCCTTATTTTTATTCTGAGTTCTAGCCTTCCCCTTCTTCTTTAGATCATCATCTACCCTCACTTCACCTTCTTGATTGTTGCTATTTTTCTGATCCTCCACAATTCTACATGCCCTTCAATCAACTCATCCTTTTGTTTTGCACTGGGGTCCTCCAATACGTGCCCACTTCTCAAAGACATTGTATTTATTGTCTCTTTTGGATTTCTTTTGGTATTAGCAGGAAGAGCTTTTGGAACCCTCTCCGACAATAGATTAGCAAGTTGCCCCACATGTCTTTCCAAGTTTCGAATGGCTGTGCCATAAGTTTCAAGCCTCTTATCTGTCTTATAATAAAGGCCTTCAAAAGATCTTCCATGTTAGACTGATCAGACTGTGGAGACTGGTATTGCTGCCTCTGCTAATTGAGAAAACCTAGAGCTCCTTATCCCTGGGTCTGGAGTTATTCTGTTGCCATACATTCGCACTACCGCCTAGTGAACTCCAAGAAAAACCTTGATGCCTATGCCCCACAGAGTTAAAATTATTGCCACTTTGGTAGTTGCTAATCTACGCTCAATCCACACTCAATATTGAGTGGAAACGATTGTTCGAAAAATAGTACCCAACAAGAGTTGGGGTCGATTTTCACAGGGAGTTTAATATATGGGTGTTAGGGTGTACACTTGATGAGCGTAGATGAAATAGCTCAATTACAATTCCAAATATGGGGTTTTGTTAGCTGCTTGTAAAATTGACACTAGCAATGATCAACTAAGGAAAAGAGACTAGAAAATGAGTAATTATTTTTGTTATTTTTATCAAATGGGTAAAAGGCCTAGGGAAGTGACCTTCACAT